CTAACTACTAAGAGACTATACAAGAAAAAATTGACAAAAACACAACTAACAAATATAAATAAACTCTAAATTGTTCAACCAATAAGATTTAATAAGAAAAAAATTATTAATTTATTCAGAAAAAATAAAAGAAATTGATTTATCCAATATAAAAAAAAATCGGTTCTTATTCGGTTCTGGGTCTAGAACCGAGAACCGAACCAAACCATTCGGTTCTCGATTCGGATACCCGTTCGGGTATTTCATTTAAAAAAACCCGCTCGATTCAGTTCGGTTCCGGTTCGGTTCGGACATTTTGCCCAGCCCTATTTACGCTCCATGTTATGGTGCTCGATTTTGCCATTAATTTTAACAATGTTTAAAACAGTCAATTACCTCGATTTTTACAAGTTATGAAATGTAATTTATGATGCACAAGTTGCTTAATCCTACACTGAAAATGACGAAAGATTTATCGAATATATTTATTTATTTTTCCGCCACCTCTCAATCTCATGATGACTTTTATTGTTTTATGTAATAAATAATTTGTGTTTCGTTCATTTGTTCACGCCACAGTTAGAAGTCAGAAGCTGGCATTGAAAAAGGGCCTAGGATCAATACATTACACAGTGAGGTTAAAGATTGTTAGGGTGCGTGCCGTGTGCACGTGTGCAAGATACATGAATTATTAATTACTCATGTTCTAAAATGAGCGCAAATGCGCCGCCTAGACGCAACGCGAGGAAAAAACGCGTCGAATTCGGGGTATGCACGAAAAATGGGGTTTTGTTCTAAAATCGCCGCCTAATCCCGCCCTAATTTTTTTTTAAAGTAAAAAAATCTATTTTTTATATATAAAAATATATTTAATGCTTAAAAATACGAAACGCATTATAGCGCTTATTCTTCGCATTTACACCCCTAAACTTGTGATTCTTGATTTTCGGTTTTGACGCATCGCAACGCATTAAGCATTTTAGAACATTGTTAATTACAGAAAGGGAATGCATGTTAATTGTAATGAAAGTCTTCAATTATGGCATTTATATCGCTAATTTTTTCATAAATTTTCATTTAATTAGTAAATCTTGTCCTTGATGATGATTTCTACACAAAACATTTGTTAAGCAGAAAAAAAAAACGACAAATATTTCCTCCTAATTTCAAAGCAGACTTATAAAATATTTAGATAAAAATCGTCATCAAGAATAAGATATGTAAATCAATTGAGCTTCAAGATAAGAATGCGACAAAAAGTTGAAAACTTAAGTATGGCGATAAGTAAATGATAGAGACATACTTTGTAATGAAAATATACTGTAGTAAACAAAAAATGTAGTGTGAACACAATTATCATTTACAGAATTAGAGGTGTCGTGAATTGACCCTTTTGGAAAAGATTGTGATTAGATTAAGACTTGCAAAGGCCTTTGTTGATTTTTTCTATTTTGTTTTTAAGTATGAATCGATCAAAAATAACAATTATAAAACAAACTATCGACTCGATTACTTGGTTTTTGCAAGGAGTTGCATAATCCAACTTAATAAAAAAAGAAAAAGTGAAATTGGTATAGAGTTTCGCCAATGGAGAGATTCACTTCACACATCTACCTTTTAAGTTATCGAATATAATTTTTGCCCATATCTGGTGGAGATTAAAATCAAATTTTTAGTAGATTTTGATAGAAATTGATGAAATATGTGGTTGAAAAGTTGTGGGACCCATAATATATGTGGTTGAAAAGACTTTGATTTAAATTGGGTACCAAACGAGGGCTTAATTTCTTTCCCCGACCTTCAAGGCAATGACACACATACTTATATTATTTGGAATATTTATAATGTTTTTCAATGACTAAGCTTCTAAATTTGATTGGTGAGATCCATCATCCATGGGATGATTTTTATAGGAGAAAGATGCGCCCTTTTGACTTCATTAAGAGCAAACGTCGCCGCATCAAATTCTTTTTATTCAATAAAATATCAAACAAAAGTAGTAATGGAAATACTTGGGATCGTTCTTATCTCTTTCATCACGCTTAATTCAAAAATATATAGTTATATCACTACAATATATAAAAGAGGTATGAAATGAATTATTTAGTGTCATTTTCATTTACATTTCATCTATTTACATTTCATTTTACGTAAATTTGAACATCATTTCCATTTGTATTTGCATTTTCTCATCTATCACGGACACACACACACACACACACTCTCTCTCTCTCTTCTCTCTCTCTCTCTCTCTAGAGTAGAAAGCAAACAATATTTTTTGCTTTCTCTTGATCTTTCTTCTCCCTCCTATAGCATACGTTTATCTATATCTCTTGGTAATATAACTTTTTCTTTCTCTCTTTTTTTTTAATTATAATTGTTATCTGTATGATGACGATTTTTTTTAGTGGGAACCGTTTTCTTAAGAACTTTGGTTTTTATTGTATTTCTCTCATTTGTGATGCGAAACAAAAATTTTGCTTTTGTGAATCAGTGCAAGTTTATGTTTATGCATAGATGTACTGCCTAGATCTATAAGTTTTGTAAAGAAAATAGTGTTGTAAGGATTGTTATGCTCTTTTCAAAAGATAGCAATCTAGATTGGAGGCTGCATAGAAAGTAAAATAATCCATTAGTGGAGGATGAGATTGCAGAATATTAATCAATATTGTATGGAAATGAAACTCTTAATTAACAAACTTTTATGGATTTAAATTTTCACTAACCTTACAAATACTTGATTTTTCGTGGGAATCTGTGAGGATAACTGGATAACAAGAAAATGCCCAGAAAAATGAAATTTGAGAGCCTACTAGATAATCAGAAAAACGAAGGGCTTGAGAATGAAAAGAAAAATATGAGAAAAGACGAAAATAATGTCACCTTGTGTTTGGTCCCCTAAAAAACACCCAGTCCCATTTGTCTATTATTTTTGAATGGCAACTTTCAATCCAACAAGCAGGAATGAAAGTTCAAGAAAAAAAAATTTCAAAAATAAATAATATTTAATAACATAAAGTTCAAAGAGAGTAACTTATACAGAAAATGAAGTTTTTGTGGCTTGCCCAATATGTTAGAGATTGGGCCATTTTCGTTGGAGAGCTTTTAAGAGAAGTTGTCTAATGAATCCTTGATAAAACAAAGGAAAAAAAGCAAAAAGGGGAAAATAATGATTTATTGATAGTATGTGAAAATATGTTGAGGTCTCAATATGTTTATAACTCCGTATAAATAATACAGTGACTAAGGAGAAAATCAAAAAGTAACGACCCGAGGTTGTCCATCATTCTGGGCCAATACAAAAAAACTAAGTGTTCTTAATCACTTCAATAATTACCGACTTATTGTAGTTACATTTATCGGAAGTTTATTCCGCGATCTTAATATCTGATTCTGCTTCGTTGATTTTCTCATCACCGTTGATGAATTTCTTAATTTCTGGATTTTAGAACATTTCATTCCCCTGACTGTTTTCTTCTTTTGGCTACAGGTCTACTTTGCAT